TGCCTTGGCCTCCGCTGCTGAGCCCTGGCTCGAGGCTGCGCCCACCCCTAAGCTCGGGCACCCACTGCTGTTCTCTTCGGTTGCAGACCTTTACCACCCAGGAGACCATCACGAATGCGGAGACGGCGAAGGAGTGGTTTCTCCAGGCGGCCAAGGATGTGAGTGGGCTATAGGGCCTCCCTCGTGGTCAGCTTCTGGGCTGGGAAGAGCAGGGTGGGCCCCTGAGTGACCAAGTCTGGCCCTGTCTCTCCTGAAGTTAGAAGCGGAAGGTGGCCTTGCCAGTGCCTGCCTTTGCTAGATGAGATGATTGTTCATCTTGGTTTTGCCAGACCCAGCCTTGCAGATGTGACAGAACCTGCTCTCGCGGGCTGACAGCCCTTGTGTTGCCCTTTCTCTAAGGTTCCTTGGTGCAACAGGGACTCTTGGCCACACCTATTTTATAGGGGAGGGATATCCCTGAGCCCCGCATGCTTGTAAGATGGGATGAGCAGGCAGCCTGTGACCCATCTGCTTTCTTGCCCTTGACCTCGATGTGGGCCTCCTTCAACAGTCTCAGAACCAGAGACTGGGAATCTCAGTCCCATGCAGGGCCTTGGTTCCTCTAGTGATGGGGAGTGACTACCCCTTGTCTCCCTGGGCTGGATTTGGTAACTTGGCTCTGTCTTTTGTAGCCTTCTGCAGTGGCGAAGCACTTCGTTGCTCTGTCTACTAACACGGTAAGTGCCCCTGTGGTCCCCTGTACTGCCTTCCTGGGAGGGCCCAGCATGTCTAGGTCATGGCCCGTCAGAGACGTGGTTCATAGGTCTGGTGGATCTTGGCTTGGCTGATGCTATGGAAGGGTTGGCTGCCTGTGGGCTGCAAGCCTTCCTTGCCTTTCCCACATTCACCCATTCAACCTCTGCAGCCTTGAGAAGAGAAGCTTGGAGTCAGTGGGATCACGATAACCCCTTTTTCCATCTCCCAGGCCTGAGTGATACCCAGAACCCTCCATACACATGACCTTCCTAGGCCTCTGTGCGCAGCATCTCCCCAAATGGGCCACGCTGGGTAGGGGTGGGGGATGCATTCTATTTTTCACGTAAGGACATAAAGCCCCAATGAAGGGAGGTCACACTTTGCCTCCTACTTAGCGATTGTTGTTTTGTGTGTGGTGTTTTGTTTTTTTTTTTTTTTGAGACAGTCCGCTTTGTTGCCCAGGCTGGAGTGCAGTGGCAAGATCTTGGCTCCTTGCAACCTCTGCCTTCCAGGTTCAAGTGATTCTCATGCCTCAGCCTCCTGAGTAGCTGGGATTACAGGTGCACGCCACCATGCCCGGCTAATTTTTATATTTTTAGTGGAGACGGGGTTTCACCATGTTGGCCAGGCTGGTGTCTAATTCCTGACCTCAAGTGATCTGCCCACCTCGGCCTCCCAAAGTGCTGGGATTACAGGTGTGTGCTGCTGTGCCCAGCCTATTTTTTGAGACAAGGTCTCGCTCTGTCACCCAGGCTGGAATGCAGTGGTGCGATCTTGGCTCATTACAACCTTTGCCTCCTGGGTTCAAGCAATTTTCACGCCTCAGCCTCCTGACTAGCTGGGATTACAGGCACCCACTACCACATCCAGCTAATTTTTGTATTTTTGGTAGAGACAGGGTTTCGCCATGGTGGCCAGGCTAGTCTCGAATTCCTGACCTCAAGTGATCTGCCCACCTCGGCCTCCCAAAGTGTTGGGATTACAGGCATGAGCCACTGTACCTGGCCCACTTAGCGATTGTATGAGTAGGTGATACCAGGATTAGAACCTGGGTCACCTGCCCCCCAGTTCTCACAGTCTGCCTGGCCCCGAGGTTGTGCAGGCTCAGCAGAGCATGGCAGAGTAAGGGATATTCCAGGAGTGACAGCAGCAGTCAGCCGGTGGGCACTGTGCTGTGTCAGAGCTGGGGACCACACCCACATCACCCCCTCCCACCCCCTCCACCGTTACCCCTACATCTCTGCCTCCAGTGCTCGCCCGGCTGCAGCAGGACGCCATAAGGCTGGCTAACTATAGCACTGTTGCCTGCCTCCCACTGACTGGTCAGCAGGGCTTCTCCTCCTGTGGGGAATAGGTAAGGGGTTGCTGGCCCTGTCTGCTCTGGGGACCAGAATACCTGATGGGTCCTCAGAGCTTCTTGGTGCAGTCACCCTCCCACACGTGGGAAGGGCGGGGTAACTGTCCAGCCTGTGTGTGGTTGCCTGGCCTGGTAGGTGGCCCCTGCCCATGCTCGGGTCCCAGTCCTAGGTTCGGTTCCTAGATGCCCTGAGGGGTCATGCTCTGGTGTCCCAGACAGGCCTGGGTGAGGGCTGTTGCAGAGCAGTGTGTGGGCCAGTTCCTCACACGGGGTTACAGCTGTCCTCAGCAGGGGGCTTTACAGGTGCAGCGTCACTGGTGTGCCTGGTGTCCATCTTGGGGTAGGCAGATCCTGGGCCCTGCCCTCGACTCATAGACTGCTCTAGCCCTGCCCCATCCCTGGCTCTGGGGAAGGTGAGGCTCAGCTCACAGAGCATAGCTCCCTGCCTCCTGGAGCTCCTGTTTCCATCCCACTAGCAAATGCTTCCTTTCATTTCTCTCCCTTTGTGGTTTTTTTTTTTTTTTTGTAGACCAAAGTGAAGGAGTTTGGAATTGACCCTCAAAACATGTTCGAGTTCTGGGATGTAAGTACAAGCACTTCTGCACTGGGTGAATTAAGTGTCCTTTGCCAAATCCTGGCCGTTGAGGGGCCCTTGAGGTCAGGTCAGTGTTTATTGAGTACCTGCTGCATACCTAGCTTGGGGAAAGGTAGAGAGGCCCTCAGAGAGGCTTGGAGGACAAGAGCAACCCAGGCAGGATGAGGGCTCCACTTCCACCTGAGGGCGGGCTGAGCTTGCATTGCCAGATGACACTCCCTTGGGTGCCTGCCTGCAACACCCACTGTGGGGTAACCCGAGTACCCCTTGCCCCCCTCACCGAGTTGAGGTTGTGAGTTATTCTCAGTGATGACCTTTCTCTGAACTGCAGCCACCATCTGTAAAGGCCAAGGGGCAGGGTGAGGCATGAGGTATGACCGGGTAGGCCTGCAAAGGAGCAACAGGAGCTGCAGGAGGAGCTGGGGGGTGGCGTAGAGGAGGCGCCAGGCTGGGGCAGCTTGCAGAGCAAACCCTGCCTTGAGTGACAGGGCAGCAGACCCCTCTGTAGCAACAGATGGTCCATGGGACCGCCTCTGCTGGAGCCGAACAGTGAGCTGCAGCTTTCCTTGTGCACTTGCCTGAGCTCAGCAGCGGTGTAAGGAGGGCTCTGGCTGTGAAGCCTGGGGTGCAGGGGTGCAGTGCAGGGTGTGGTGCGGGCGCTGTGAATGCTGTGGGCATGGCCAGGCTTAGGTGCAGGGTCTAACACTGTGGCAGGCGCAGCAGAGAGGGCATTGCCCATGTGGTGGTTTTCCCACCTGGGGCTGTTTCCAGGCATTTGGACCGGAGGCCCTTTGCTTGGTGACAGCATCCACAGACATAACCTTGTTCCTTTGAAAGCTCTAGGGGCCTTTGGCTACCGGGGTCTGGGAGAGAATGAAGCCCTAATGCCTCAAGCCATCCACTGTGTATAATGAGTTAACTTCTTTCTAGAATGAGACTAGTTACATACCATCCTTGGAAGAATTGACAAGAGTCACTCAAGTCATTTTCTGCATCCTGTGGCTCAGATGCAGAACCCCGGTCAAGAGAGACTGTGCGGCTTCTAATAAATGTTGCATGACTGATAATGGAGGGCAGGCACCTTCCACCTCCTCCTTGGGATCTGGAGCCTGAGCAGGTGGTGGGCAGGGACGTGTGGGTGCTGCTGCCAGCCAAGGAGCCAAGCAGATTGGGGGTGTCCTTACTCGTCACCACCCAGCATGTAGAGATGAGTTAGGGTGTGGCTTAAGGAGACGATGGGTCTGGCCTCCCAGGTAAGGCCTAGGAATGGTATTTAGGTACAGGAACATGGGGCCAGGGCTGGCTGGTGAGACCTAAGCGGAGGCTTCCTGGGCCAGGCTAGACAGACCACAGGGGATGGAGGAGGGATCGGCCTGAGTTACTAGAGTGTATCCTGCTGAATCCAGAAGGTGATATCTGAAGAACCCAGGGATAGGAGCAGGTGAAGTTCCTGGAGGTAGGGTCTCGGGTGAGCTACAGCCATCAGCTCAGGCCTAGGGATGCAGTCCTGACTCTCAGGTGAGATCAGAAGAGTCTCGTCTGGTAGTGGTAATTCTTGGTCCGCCAGGGCCAGTTGTAGGGCAGCCTTGGGTGTCAGGATCAGGCAGAGGGGTGGTGGGAAACCGCAGGGTCTCTCAGGGCTCAGCCAGAGTCAGCACATGCCACAGGGCCAGTTTTGGCTGGGGAGGCCCAAAGCGGAGCCAGAGCAGATCCAGGTGAGTTCTGAGGAGGAGCCAGGGCAGGGAGAGGGACCCACGGGTCTGTGAATTCTGGAGGAGAGGCAGGTATTTAGAGATGGTTCTGTCAGGGGAAGTCTGAGGAGCCAAAGCTATGTATGTGTGTATGTCAGCCGGGCTCTGTGGGAGGTGATGTTGACCTATGGCATGGAACGGGTGTGCATGCTGGGATCTCTGGCCGGTTCTGAAAAGTGAGGATCAGGTAGTGGGTGGCTGATTGCTCGAATGGGGTGTTTAGAACCCAGGATTAGGGACACACAGGTCAGCAGCTGCTTCTTAGCATCCTGACTGGGTGTGATGGGCAGAGCTCAGGGCGTCAGAGGCCTCTGAGAATTCGTGACTGAAGTCCAAGTCTGTGGCGTCAGGGTCTGCAGAGCCCAGATGCGGGAGAGGTAGGAATGTACCTGGTGATGTGAGGCAAGGACAGGGGAGCTGCGGCAGGTGAGGCAGGCGGGTTGCATGCGGAGCTGTGCTGGGTAGGTGCGGTCTGAGTGGCTCAGGGTGAGTAAAGGTCCAGAGACCTGGGTCTGCAGGGCAGACGTCAAGGCTGAGCCAGTCAGACAGTGTTTGTCAACACTGGGCTCTCACCAGGCTCCCTCAGGCCAAGGTCAGCAGCCAGTGATCTGTCATGTGTGAGGAAAGTGTCTGTTCAGGTTAGGTGTGTATAGTGCAGCCTTTCAGAGCCGCATCTGTCTGAGGTCCCAGGAGCTGGAAGCAGACAGGTTTGTATGGCTGGGTTTCTAGGGGAGGCCTGAGGAGCCAAGACTCTACTCAGGTAGGCAGAACTGGACCAGTCCGGTAAGGACGTTGGAGCTAAAGATAGGCAGACAGGTTGAGCTGGGTCTGACAAGTGAGGCTGAAGATCCATGATTGGGTCCAGGTTGGAGCTGTGTCCTCGGGCGATGTCTGAGCAGCTCTGGTGGGTGAGCCTGGGAAGAGACCAAAAAGCTGGAGTCGGACAAAGGGATGACGACCTGCATCCGTCTGAAAGGTGGATGAAGCCTGGGTCTGGTCGAGGTACGTAGAGCGGTTCTAGCAGGCGAGGTTTCAGGGGTTAAGGTGAGACATGGGTATGTAGTTTTGGGTCTCACAGGTAAGGTCTGAGCCACTGAGGTCAGGCCCTGGTTTGTATCCCAGGTCTGAGAAGCATGATGGGTAGAGTTTGTCGGGTGACATCTGTGAAACCAGAGGGGCACGCAGAGGGAGGTTGACCAGAACAGCCATAGTCAAGCTAATTAAACTGTCCTACAGTTGAGGTCAGGCACAGGTGGAGAGAACGATCTATGAGGTGAGGCCCAAGGAGTTGGGGTTAGGCTCATCTAGAAAGACCTGGATGTGGTAGACAACCTCTGAGGGTATGAAGTGAAGGCAGGTGGATAGAGCCAGGTCTCAGGAGGGTCTGAGGCGCCGGGATCTGGCACAGTGAGCAGGTCTGGATTTCCCA